TACCCTCTCAGCTTAGACACATGGGGGAGGGTCTAGACCCTGCTCCAAATGATAGGGCAGACTTTGAAGATCCCCATGGCAGGCCTCACTCTCCCTGGGGAGCAGAAAGGGTTGGGATAGGGCTAGGTGGACAGGGGCAGAGGAGGAGGGGAGGGAGATGGAACTGGGATTGACATGTAAAACAAGCTTGTTTCTAATTATATGTTAAAAAGGAATAAAAAGAGAAAAGGTAGATTATTGATACTGCTTTTAAAAAGCAACTACCAGCTTTAAATTTTACATTGGATTGGACTTCTTGATATTGTATACAAAAATGTGTATATTGATAAAAATTTGAGATTAATTTGTCAAGACATATTGTACATACATTTCTAACCTAGTTCAAGGTATTTACCTCTACAGCTTATTTATCAATGTAATGCAAATTTCTGATGAAACGTAGGCTTGTAATTAGTCACCTATTACAATTGAATTTGTAATCACACTAGGTATGTTTTCAAAGACAAAGATATATATATATATATATATATATATATATTTTAAAGAAAGACAGGTAGTCTTCAAACACTTCAGAGGTCTGCAGAATATGGCATTTAAAATGTTTTAATAACAGAGGTGAATTTTCTTATGAAAATTAGACATGTCTGCACCTGGCAGCACCAATCCACGTAAGAGGAGGGAATAGGCATCCAAGATCCTCTCATGGAGGTTACTTTTTTTGTGGTAAAGGTAACCTACTAGGCAAGAAAAGTGCTCTTGCCTCCACTGCTGACAGTATGCTGCCCAAAATGGACAAACAGGCCACAAAAAGAGGGACTTCAAACCTTGCCAAGACAAGGTGTACAGCCTTTCAGAAAATCCTGCTTCACAGAAAAGTCTGTCAGAAATGCTAGGTTTACAGGGCAAAGATGGATGCCCCAACATTACATAAGAACCTTGGGTGACTGCACACATGGCCAGCTGTTTTTGTCATTTCTCACATCTTTTGGAAGTCAGTTGATCACACTTCCTGTTTACACAGTAATGATTTCCTTTCCAGTCTCTGGGGAGTAGAATACTAAATAATATATTTTTCATGGTTTACCAGACTCACAAAATAAGCTCACCTAAGATATGTTAAGTGTAAATGGCTTGAGAGACATTAAAAGGTATTTTGATAATGCAAATTAGAATAGGAAAGGAATTGGGTACAAGACTTTGACTAACGAAGTCTTTTCTCTGAACTTGTAAAATGCAAATGGACTAGATATTTTCTCTGAATTTGTCAAGTGCAAATGGACTATACATTGTTCAAAAACTTAGTATCCATATATATTGCATGTACTTAGTGTAGGTTTTGTACATAGGTTATCTTATAATAGTTGTAGCCTTCTTCTTTGGGTATTGGACAAAAGGGGGAATTGTAGGGCTATATTATTTATGATTTATTCAAGCTTGACTGAGGCTTCAGAAAAGCAAAGCCAGCCACACAGCTTTAATTCCAGCAGACAGAATCTAGTAGGTGGTGGCAAACACCTTTAATCCTAGGATTCAGGATTAAGAGATAGTTCTGTCTGAGGCCAAGGCCACCAAGATCTACACAAGAGTGCATCAGTGTCAAAGAGGGTTATAGCTCATACATTTAATTCCAACATTAGGGATATAAGTAAGGTCTCAGAGACACGTTCATTCTCCAGCCTAATTGAAGATAGGAGGCATTCGTTCCCCAGCCAAGATGAGGAACAGCAGCAATTTGAGAGCTAGTGAAGAGCTTGTGCCTGGATCAACCCTTTCCACCGGAGTTTGAGATGAGAGCTAGTAGCAAGCTGCTTTGCTTCCCTGAACTTCAGGTTGAAACCCAATATTGATCAGTGTCATTTATTGTTGGTGATACACAACCTGACCTTCAACCTATATTGTGTTTCCTCAGTGTATATCAATAGGAAGGGAGAGGACACCTGGCTTCTGACCAACTCAAAACCAAGCAGGTTAAGAAGGAGCTATATCCTCAAAAGAATTCTCAAATTACTAATAGTGTCCTTTTTTTGCCATGAAACAGGGACTCATAGTGGAAATCTAGGTGGCAGAGGGAAATTAGGGAGGGGATAGTGGACACAAGGAGATAGAGGCACTCAGTCTCAAAAATACCCATTGTCCCCCCCCACGGAGAGAGAGAGTTAATGACACAGGGAGACTGAGATGGAGACAGAAACCTTGTTTTTCAAAATGGTGGTTGAAGCCACGTAGGGAAATATTTCAACTAATTAAGATAGTTTAGAAGAACTAGAAAATGGATAATGAAGGGATTAGCGATTGTCATCAGATCCTTGGCCAGACTGCTAGAATTCACTTTGAGCTCTGCATTGGTCTGACCTTTCAACAGTCCTCCCTCTTCCCAATACAAAGAGATAAGGTGGATGTGTAGGTAGCCAACAACAAGCAAATGCTCCTTTTGTGTGTGTCTGTGGGGTGAGTTCTCTTGCTGACAACAGCGACCTTGAGCTTGCAATCTGCCTAGGTTGGTTAGAGCTGCTCAGCACTGAGTCTTTCCCTCCAAGGTGCTGAAGACAGTGTTCTGAGCAGACAACTGACATCGATGGCTGGGGTGTACAACAGTTCTGCTTCAGATTTAGAAGTAGGAAGGGTATCCCCATCAAGGTGGATTCCAGGTATCTAGCCTTTGAGAAATATTGGATGAGGAAAAAGAGTTGATCTATAGCATCTGGATTCAAGTGAGAGCCCAGAAGGAGCAAAGAGCATATGCAGTTACCAGGAAGAACTGAGGTCATGATATCAGAGAGAAGTGCCCAAACAGTTACCAAAGCAGATGATGCTTGGGAAAAAAAAAACCTTTCACAAAGATAGCATTCCTCCCCCAGCCCAGTAGGGTCAAGACAGGCAAATCACTGAAGCCAACTAGCCAGTATGGAGTTCCAAGCTGCTGAACTTCCAGTCTGTGTGAGAGTCCCAACAATGTGAGTTACAGAAAAATACCTGAACCCAGGCATTAGAGTGGGTGTGGACATGAAAAACTAAGGCAAAAATCAGGGTAGAGAATCTGACAGGGTTTGTAATGTGCTGCTCTCTAAGGTGGATCCCATACCAAATTTAAGTTGAGGTATAGGGGCAGAAAAATGCCTGACCATGGGGGGGGGCTTTGTATGGGAACTCAAGATTTAGCCAATGGATCCCTGAAACTGAGCAGTTATCTTGCCATGTTTACCACTGGGCTATCATGACATAACTGTCGTCCCCCCCCCCAGAGTATGTGTGTGACCACAATCCTGTTTTGACTCTGTTGAACATTCTCATTTCCCGGATGAAGGCTAACTCTTGGTAAGGGTAAGTACACAATCCCCAGGAAGCCTGGGACTTGATGGGTCAAGGTTTCATACCGTGTTGTGGGTATCCATGGATTCCTGGATGTCAAGCAGGTCAAAGCCTTTAGTGACAAAGCAAGAGCTTGGAAAGGGATCCCTGCAGGCTGTCCTAACTGTCAGTGGTCTTAATATCTCAAGGTGGAGGTAGGTGTGCAGAGTGTGTGTATGGCACCCCTGATGAGGTAGGGTGATGCCACTTGGGGTTGTCGATTGCTCTTGAAACATTGGTGGTGAGAAAAACCCCATGCCCCTGGCCAAAGAAAGCCCTCACACTGTCATTATTTGAGGACAATTTTAATGGCACAAGTTGGAAACATCATACAGTATGGCATAGGGAAGTTAGTTATGAACACCGGGCTTAGTGAAAGAATCCACTGCAGGTCAATGATCACAGAAAGGGAGACGACAGGTAAGGGTCCTTCAGAGTTCCTCTCAGTGTCCAGAGTCAAGGCAGAGGTGAGTCTACTTGCGTGGATTTGTGAGTCCAGCCTCAAGAGGAGTTCAGTGTTTCAGTCTTTTTTGCAGGTGAACCTGACAGATTTCAGTCACCTACCCAGTGCATTCTGCAGAGTAACGCAGTAATCCACTGGGATTCTTTTCACTCTGCAAAAGTCCATCCTGTTGGAACCCTGAAGGATCTGGGAAGTCTCAGCAGGGAGGCGGCATCTTCTCTCCAGGTGAAGCCTCACTTCCTCATCACTGTCCTCTGAGGAGGAGGAGACCAGAAGGTCCCCATTGAGGACACGCCATGGGACCTGGGAGTGAGCCCCTCCCCTTTCTCTTGAGAAGCAGTCCTGTAAGGAGGAGCTTTTTGCTTCTCAAGGGGAAGTCCTGGGGCTCCTTCCATGAACCTGGAAGTCCAACAATCCCTTTGGGTGCTGGTGAAGATCATCCTCAGGGTTTACCCTGTAACATGGGAAGCTGATGGCTCCTGGGACTCAGTTAAAGGGCTAACTGAAACCAGGGCAGTTTGGCTGTGGAGCCTTGGTTGGTCAGTTCTATGCCCTTGGTCTTTGCACTACACGCTGAATACTTGACCATGTGCATTTCTTTTGGGCACAGCCCTGGGGTGATGTGCTGATGTACCTGGAGGCTTCTGATTCAGTGCATCCTGTGCATCTGCCTTTCTGCCATCCTGCATGAACACTGGCTTGGGGACACCAGTGACAGCCATGGTTTGACTTTCCCTCCTGCCTGGAGGGTAAGATGCGGGAGCCTACAAAGATTTTGATTGGATGGTTTCCAGGGCATGTCTGTCTCCCAAGAGACTTTTTGGCAGGTGGCACTGTGGTCTCCATTCCGTCTGGTAGCACCCTTTTTCTTATTCCAGCAATGAACCCCAGCCTCTTTGGGTGCTGTGGAGAAGACAAACACAGGCAGAATTCAGGACCACACTGTGAGCCTGGAAGGGTAGGGAAGGCTTTGCAAAGAGCACACAGAGCTCATAGGATCTACACTCCAGAGATGAGTCTGTTTCAGGGCCCATGGAAGTCAAATCTGCCAGGCAGTCATGGCCCACATCAGCTCTGCAAAACCCACAGATGGGCAGGTTGGGCATGGACAAGTGATGAGTTAAAGCTTCCACAAAAAGTAAAGCTGGGCTCACACTGATGAGTCAATGTATGTGGCATGTGTCTTTGTGTTTTTGTCAAGACATAGAAAACAAAATAGAGATGTTTGGGAAGACAGACAGGAAGAACGGTGTGAGCCTCCTGTGGCCATGTGGAAACAAATTCAGATTATAAAGTATCTCACTCTCTATGGAGAATTGTAATCATCTCACATGGGATTTGAAGCCAGGAAAATGCATTTATAGATGCCCTGTCCTTGAATCTGAATCTCATAATGGTTTTGCGGCCTACTCTGTAGGCAACAGATTGGAATGGAAGAGATTGGGATATGTAGATGCCACAGAGAGTTCTCTGATAATTGTCTGGATTATAGATGTAATAGAAAAAAATGCAAAACCATAATAACCAAGAAAAAACAAAACAAAAGCCCAGTGCCTTGATGGCAAGAGCAAAATCTGAGGACAGGAGGGTAAACCATGTTTTTTTTGTTTGACATCCGTGAGATGGAGGTCCTGGAGTCCTTGATCTAAGTTCATGCTCAAGGGTAGTGACAGAAAGCATCTCCATCCTCTAGGTCAACTAGTCTACCATGCTGGTAACCCCACAGAAGAGGCTTACTCAAACCCAAGTCAATCTAATCTTAGAGGGACCAAATGAACCCTTGCTGCAACTGAGATATTTGAGATATTTATGAAAGCTGCCCGACACAGGGGACATGACATGAGCAAAGAGGTAACATGGTAGAAAAAGTGACAATGTTGCAAGTCTCAGGTACTTCAATGGTCAGGATCAAAAACTTTTTACTTATAGCCTAGCTGATGTTTTTTTCCTTCCTTGAACCTTCAATGGTAAATTTCTGAAAGAGAGTCTTCCTTTTATGTTCATCACACCTGTGGGACAGACAATGGAGAAGAGACAGGTCAGCTTTGGTCTCCAAAGAGGAAACTACTTCCTAGATCTCTGGCCCATTTTGCGGTGTTTTGAGACTGCTTGAGGAGATATGGTATGCTGATGAGCTTTGCCACATCTGGTACCTTCTCTTTTCAGCCCCATACTCTTGTGTTTACCAATCACTCATTTCTGTGGGGGCGAGTTTGCTCTGTGTGTCTTTCACAGCCTGGCTTATGGTCTCCAGTGTCCAGAAACCTGAGTCCTGTGAGGATCCTTGTTCTTCTCTTTCCTGGATTCCAGTGGTTGTGGCACTAGGAACCTATAGACACACTTGATTGGCCACCTCCTCCTCGAGGTGTGGCCAAAGGCTCCACAGCCTCTGCATTTCACCTGTGAGTGCCAAAGGATGTATCAGAGGCACAAAGGGATCCCTGACCTGTGTAGACTTAATCCAGGTCAAGGTCCAAATGTTCTTCAATGTTCTCTCTAGAATGAGCACACACACAGACACATGTACCTGACTCACGCATACTACACAAAGGGTTTAATCAAAGGGCTGTTTCTTTGAACCTGGAAGAGGCAAGTGTCTTTTGAGCGGTGCCAGGAAGATGATAGTGATCCCTCTCAACCAAAGAACTAGTCCTGCTAAAGAGGATTTGTACCTAACTTCCTGGTCTTCCTTTACGTCTATAGGCAGGAGGTGTAGTTCTCATGCCTGCCTCTTTGAACAGGTGAGGATCATCATTCAATGAAACAACTTTAACAGGGTGGGAGAACACTGGCCAGCTATGGGCACAACTGACTGCAGGATGGTAGCACCATTCTGTCCAGAAAACTCATTCCATTGACACTATTTACCAATATGTAAGCAAAGACCTAACGCATTCAAGTCCATAATCTGGGATAGCCTCTGAATGTACTACCCATGACTTTTGTTTTCTACTTAGGTCCTACTATTGTTAAATGAACTATGTCAACCCAAAATGTTTCTGCTTAAAACCTCATCCTGAGAAAGGTTCAGTGATCCAGAGGGGAAGGGATCACCCAGCATATACTCTGGCAGCCTGTTAATAAAGACTTTCTATTGGCCTACACCCATGTCTTCTGTGGTGTACATCCCACAGCACAAAAATTCAGTCATGAATCCCAGTATATGTCTTGCATACCCTAGAGGTCTAGGTACATACAGGTCTCCACTTACCCAAGGTTCTCTTCTTCCAGTGGGGGAACCTTCTGTGCCATGGACCCTCTTGGCTTACTCTGGGCTCTCTGGGGTGGAAGGGCTCCATGGCCCCAAATCTGCAAGCATCTCAACTCACTGAGTGTGGGTCCATCACCTGGAGTATATTGGCTAAGATTTTCTAAGAAATCGAAGAGTTTTAATCAATGATGCTAATGGCCATTACAAAATGATCCACTTTCTCTGAATTCCCAAGCATATTCAAACCAAATGGAAACTTGGGGACTTGAAGTTGAAACATTCTAGGAATGTTTCAAATTAAGAAAGCTGTTTCCAGGTGGTAGTTGCACTGGCCTTTAATTGTAGCACTTGGGAAGCAGTAGCAGGAAGATCTATGTGAGCTTGATACGAGAGAGAGAGAGAGAGAGAGAGAGAGAGAGAGAGAGAGAGAGAGAGACTCTCAAACTATTGTCACAGAAATATGGATTGAGCCCAAGTAAACCTCTCACCTTACTTGTTTTTGGTAGAGAGAAATCCAAATTACCAAAACAACAAATGAAAAGGGGAACGTAACAACATACACTGAGGCAGTCCAGAGAATCATTAGGTCCTACATCAAAAACCTGTACTCCACAAAATTGGAAAAATACAGTTTTCTTGATAGGTTAAAAAATGCCAAAATTAAATCTAGGCCAGATATAAAATATAAATAGACCTATAACCACAAAGGAAATAGAACAGTGACTCAAAGTCTCCCTACCCCCTGCAAACACACACACACACACACACACACACACACACACACACACACACACACACACACACAAAACCAAGCAGGCTAGGGCCTGAGATCTACAAAGTTGCTCCCCTTTGCAGACAAATGCTGACATGTTCCTGCACAGCTGCCTGTCCCAGGGATGTAATAAGCAGCAGAGGAAGGCTAACTTTTAGCATTTCCCCAGAGGGCCCAACACATCAACTTGGCTATGAGTAAGAGCAATGACCCTGTCCCTAAAAGACTGTTTCCCCATGTCCTAAATCAATGTCTTTTTGTTTCCATGTTGCCTCTTTGCTCACCTGATGTCCCCTGTTCCTGTTGGCTTTCATAAACATCTGTTGGACCAGGGGTTTACTTGGTCTGTTTCAGAATTCAGATGGATGTTGATGAGTGAGCCACTGCTGTATGGTTCTCAGGGTAGACCAGCTGTCCTGGAGGTTGGGCAGGTACTACCTCAATTGTCCTTGAGAATGACCTTGGATATCAGATTCCAGGTACTCCTTCTGAAGCCTGTTACAAACATGGTCTGCGTTGGAGACTTTCTTCCTACCTTCCTGTCTGTCCAGATTTTCTTCTTGTCATGCTGGCAAATGATGTTTTCTGATGCTTCTGAAATCCAGACACTTATCAGAGAACTCTAAGTGGCACCTACACATCCCAGTTTCTTCCATGCCAGTCTGTTGGCTACACAGTGACCCCAAAAAGAATTGTGAGAATCACATTCAAGGCAGGGCATCTAAAAATGCCTTTTACTGGCTTCTCATCCCATGTGAGATGATTACAATTCTCCACAGGGAGTGAAATACCTAATAATCTGAAGCTAACTGTTTCCAGGTGGCCACAGGAGGCTCACACCCTGTCTCTCCAGACATTTTTGTTTTCTATAGGTCTTGCCAGAAAACACATGGAATAACCTTGACTTAAACTTTGCAGGGAGGCTGTAACTCTTCACTTCTCCATGCCGAACTTGCCTATGCTACAGGTTTCGGATAGCTGGTGTGGGCCATGACAGTCTGGCAGATTTGACTTCCATGTGACCAGAGACAGACTCAATTCTGGAGTGTTGATCCTATGAACACCATGTTTTTTTTTGAAAGCCTTCACTACCCTTCCAGTGAAGGTCAGTGTGGTCCTGAACTCTGCCTGTGTTTGTCTTCTCCACAGCACCCAAAGATGCTGAGGTTCATTGTAGGAAACAAAAAGGGCGCTACCAGACGGAATGGAGACCACAGTGCCACCTGCCAAAAAGTCTCTCAGGAGACAGACTTGCCCTGGAAACACTCCCGCCAAAAGCTTTGCAGGTTCCTGCATGTTGCCCTCCAGAGAGGAACAAGGTCAAACCATCTGTCATTGATGATCCCAAGCCACTGTTCAGGCAGGATGGCAGAAAGGCAGTTGCACAGGATTCACTCCATCAGAAACTTCAGTGTACCTCAGCACATCAGCCCAGGACTGTGCCCAAAAGAAATGGACTTAGTCAAGCATTCAGCGTGGAGTGCAAAGACTAGGGGCCCAGAACTGACCAACCAAGGCCCAAGAGCACAGCTGCCCTGGTCTCAGACAGACCTTGTACTGAGTCCTAGGAACCATCAGCTTCCCACGTTGCAGGGCAACCCCTGAGGATGATCTTCACCAGGACCAAGGTGATTGCTGGACTTCCAAGTTCATAGAAGGAGCCCTAGGACATCCCACTGAGAAGCAAACACCTACTTGTATGAGCCCAGCCTCTCAAGATAAGGGGAGGGAGCCAGCTCCCAGGTCCTATGGAATGTCCTCTATGAGGACCTTCTGGTCTCCTCCTCCTCAGAGGACAGGGATGGGGAGTGAGCCTTCACCTGCAAAGAAGATACCACCTCCCTGCTGAGACTGCCTAGATCCTTCATGATCCCAACAAGATGGACTTTTGGAAAGTGAAAAGAATCTGGATTACTGGGTTCCTCTGAAGAATGCACTGGGTAGGTGACTGAAAACTGTCAGGTTCACATCCAAAGAGATGAAACACTGAAAACTCCTCTCCAGGCTGGACTCACATCTCCATGCAAGTAGCCTCACATCTGCCTGGACTCTGGACACTGGAGTGTGCTGCTGAGAAGTAATCTGAAGGAAGGTCACCTATCATCTCCCTTTTGTCATTGACCTTTAAGTGATTCTTTCATTAAGCCCCATATTCATAGCTACCTTCTAGATGCCATACCATATGTTGCTTTCTACTTTTGGCATTAAAATTGTCCTCCAAATTATGCCTGTGTGGGTTTTTTGCACTATGTTTTAATAGCAATCCACACACCCAAGTGGCATCTGCCTAACTCAGTGATGCCATACAGACACTCTGCACACCCCCACCACAATGTCATGTCAGTCTAGTGTTAAGCAAAGCCATGATCGTTGCCTCAGTTCTAGGACTCCACTGGCTGCTTCTTGAGCTTCCATACAAGGTTTCCTTCATGGTCAGTCAGTTTCCTGCCCCTGAACCTCATCTTAAACTTGGTATGGGACCCAATATTTATATCAGCACATTACAAACCCTGTCAGAGATTCTCTATCCTGCTCTGTTTGCCTTACAGCTCTTCATGTCAACACCCAGTCTAGGGCCTGGGTGCCTCTCCTTTCTTCCAACTTATATTCTTCTGACAGCCTCTCACACTGACTGGAAGTTCAACAGCTGGGATCTCCTTGCTGACTAGTAGGCTTCAAAGATTTGTTGGTCTTGAGTTCCTTGGCTGGGTGAGGGCTATCTTTGCATAGGTTTGTGCTTCCAACCAACATCAGCTCAGGTAATTAGGAATTCCCTCTTTGTATCATGATGTCAGTCCTCCCCCCTCTTGGGGGGTGCTGCTGCACATGCTCTGTTCCTCCTTGGCTCTCAGTTGCTTTTATCTCTAGATCAACTATTTACTCATCCAATAGTTCTCTTTTGCTTCTTGCTCCACTCCTCTCCACTTTCTAGGGATCTTAATTGTTATGGTTTTAGTTTCCTTGAGTCACCTATCCGAGCCTGTATGCCCATTATCCCCATTGGTGGACTCCCATGTGCTCCCAACTTGCTGGCTAGAAATAAGCTTGATGGATGAACTGGTCCTACTTCAAAATATGCCAAGTGTGAGAGAATATCCAAAATTAATGAAATTGGAGATAAAGAGGGATTAACAACTTACACTGCAAAAATCCTGAAAATCACAACATTCTCCAAAACCTGTTCTTTACAACTTACTAAATTGGAAAATCTGAGACAATTTTCTTAATATGTACCATGTACCAAATTTAAAGACCAATACATTTTTCTTCCTTTTTTAAAATATAGGAATGTGTCCCCTGACAGGATACAACACAAAAACACTTAAGTTTTCCTGAGTTTGAAATGGTAATTTCCTTTGCCCATCAGAATGCCCAATGAAAACATTAAGTTATCACCTTGCACAAAACTCAAGTCCAAATGGATCAAAGACTTTAACATAAATCTGGTTACTCTGAACCTGATAGAAGAGAAAGTGTGAAGTTGCTTTGAACGCACTGGCACAGGAGACAACTTCCTGAATATAACACCAGTAGCACAGACACTGAGACTGACAATAAATGGGACCTCCTGAAACTGAAAAGCTTTTGTAAGGCAAAGGACACTGTCAATAGGACAAAACAGCAGCCTATAGAATGTGAAAACCCTACGTCTGACAGAGGGCTGATCTCCAAAATAAGAAGTTAGGCATCAAGGTACCAAATAATCCAATTAATAATGTTGTGAAGATCTAAACAGAAGTCTCAACAGAAGAACTCGAAAGGCTGAGAGTCACATAACTGATCAACATCTTTAGCTATCAAAATGGCTGAGATACCATCTTATGCCTATTAGTTTCCAAGATCAAAAAATGCTAATGACAGCCTATGTTGGAGAGAATTGGAGTAAGGGGAGCACTCCTTCACTGCTGGTGGAGTGCAAACTTGAACATCCACTTTGGAAATCAATATGGATGTTTCTCAGAAAAGTGAGAATCCATTTATCTCAAGACCCAGTGATATCACTTTTGGCCATATAGCCAAAGGATGCACAACCATAACATAAGGACACTTGCTCAACCATATTCATAGCAGCATTAATTGTAATAGCCAGAACCTGGAAACATAATGGATAAAGATGTGGGACATTTACACAATAGAGTATTACTCTGTGGTAAAAAAAAAATGACATTATGAAATTGCAGGCAAATGGGATATTTTTCCTAGTTCCATCCGAGTGAGATAAGCCAGACCCAGAAAGACAAACACAGTATTACTCATGAGTGGATATTGGATATAAAGCAAAGGATAACTAGGTTACAATCCACAGACCCAGAGAAGCTAGGTAACAACGAGGATACTAAAAGTGATGCGTGGGTTTCCCAGGGAAGGGGAAATAGATGAGATCTCCTGGGTATACTGGGAGTGGGACTGGAGTTTGGATAGGGGAGGGGATGGAAGTAGGGGAACATGAGGGATTGGATTGGTCAACTTCGGGGTGGGATGGAGGGAGAGAGCAAAAGAAAGAAATATCTTAACAGTGGGGAGGATTTTGGGGTTATAAACCTGGCGCAAGGGAAATTCCCAGGAATCTGTAAGGATGACTCCATCAAAGACTCTTAATAGTGTAGAGGGTACAGGAACTGGCCTTCCCCTGGAATCATATTGATGACTATCCTAATTGTCAACAGAGAGCCTTCATCCAGTAACTGATGGAAGCAGATGCAGAGATCTACAGGCAAGCACTGGGCTTAGCTATGGAGTTCAGTTGACAAGAAAGGAGGGATTGTACAAGCAAGAGAGTTTAAGATCACAATAATGAAATCACAGAGACCTTTGACCTGAGCTAATGGGAGCTCAAGAATTCTATATACTAGCAGCTAAGGAGGTGCATGGGACTGACCTAGGCCCTCTGCATGGGGATGACAGTTGTGTAGCTTGGTCTGTAGAGTCCCTAGCAGTGGGATCAGTACCTGTCCCCGATACAAGAGATTGAGTTTTGGAACATATTCCTTAAGCAGGGAAGCCTTGGTCAGCTTTGATGTTGAGCGGGGGCCTTGGTCCTGCCTCAACATGATAGGACCTGCTTTTTGGATTCCTATGGGAGGCTTGCCTCTTTTTGAACAGACGAATGGATAAGGTAGCATAGAAGGGAGGTGGGAGAAGGAAGGGGGAGAGAGGTGGGAGGGGAAACTGATATGTAAAATGGAAAAATTTAAGAATTATAATAAAAATTTTGCCAAATGAGAACTACCATACACCCCACAGTTAAGGCCAGGCTGTCTTCTCAGACCACTGTCTTCAGCACCTTGGAGGGAAAGGCACTACAGTGCTCAGCAGCTCCAACCAGCCCAGGCAGAATCCAAGCTCAAGGTCAGTTTTGGCCACAAGAGAACTCATCCCAGAAACTGACACAAAAGTAGCTTTTGCTTGGTGCTATCTAGACATTCATGTTATTTCTTTCTAGGCAGGAGGAGTGATGGGGGAATTGTGCATGCCAGTCTATACTAGCAAGCAAATACCAGACAACCCTGACCTAGGACTTGAGACTCTACTCCATGAACACTGGTCACCTCATCATTCACTTATTTTAAACTGAAGTGTTTAGTCTTCATGTTTTACCGCCTTCCCTCAACGCTTCCAAACTCCATGCTGTTGCCCCATATTTTCCAATTCATGTCCTCCTAGTTTACTAAGAATTTCATTCTTTTCTCATTATTTCAGTACCTCACATATCTTAAATATGTATTTTCCAATGGGATAACTCTAGTTATTTGCTATATTCTCACATTTACCCCAGGAAATCAACCACCATCATTTCAAAAGAAATAGTCTCTTTATTTCATTCTCCATCTCTGTCTCCGTCTCTCCCTGTGTCTACCCCTCCACTCCCATGTCTACGCCTGCCCTATAGACTCTCATTATGTGTCCCTGACTGATAGCACTATAGAAACGTTACTATCAGTGATTAGAAAATTTAGAGTATAGCTCCTTTATTAATGTGCTTGGTGGGTGAGTTGGTCAAATGCTAGCTCCTCTCACTATTGATACATTCTGAGGAAACAGACAATTTGAAGGTCACTGGAATTGATGAATATCTCAATAGCCAAAAATAATTGGATTAGATAGCAAGCATTAGATGGAATGGCAGGGCAAAGTTAATGTTTTGGTGTGTATGGGCAAGTCCTGCAGGCTTCTACCTTCTATCCACACACAGAGTGTGGTGGCAGGAAAGGTTCTGACCTTTCTTCTGTGGCCTCTTAAGTAAATATCTGTCTGAAACAGCACCCAAAGCATTTTCTGTGCTGGCTATCTATTCTTTTCTAAATTCACTGAAAGTATTTCCCTACAGATGGTCCAAGTACTGATATATAACTGCTGCTGGTATTGTAATTGAATTTTCCCTTGGAAAAAATCTGTTGGGACCCTGTAGCTTCACTTAACTAGTAATGGAGACATGTAGAGATGTGACCCAGATTAGAGGTGTGCCTTCCCCCCTCAATTCTGGAGGCACTTATCCTCATGTCTTCAACATCCAGTCTTTTCCTCAATCTGCTAATTGGGTTAGATGATATCATGGACCTTGTAAGCTACCTGTGAAGCAACTTTTCAATTCCATTGAGCCAGCATCCTGGAAACCAACTCCTGCCTGGCATGTGTATGTCCAGATTCCACATCTCAGAGAATCTGCTGGATAGAACAGAGCAGAGGGAGACAGTTTATTCTGAGGTTGGAGTCCTTATCAGATGTTTAAGGTGGCTGGTTATAAACACATGAATGCTTTGCAATGTTTGTGGGTTCACTGAGATTATGATGTGATAGGTGTAGTATTTCACTTAAGCATTTTGCTGAACAGAGTTTGATGGCATTAATCATTCTTAAAGGGAAATACTCCAAGAATGCACCAGCTTCAAGTCTCTAAGGCCCATTTCACTATTCTGTGGTGGTGGAAACACAAAAGGGATTCAATGTGTGATGGCCATTAGCATTCTTGTCATGTCATGGAATTTCACACCACAATATCCAGTTTTCCTCTGAACCTGCTAATTGGATTAGATGACATTATGTATTACTTGATCTTAACTGGAACAGCTTGGGAAGACACTGCTAAGTCCTGTTTGAGCCAGCCTCCTTCATGAAAGCAGCCTCCTGGTCCAAATACCACAGCTCAGGATGTCTGCTGGCTAGACCAGGTGGAGAAAGTTAGCTCTCAGATGGGAGTCCTTGTCAGGTTTTTCTTGAGTAGGGAGAAACTGTCACCCATTATAAAAGTAGAAGGCTGCTCCTTCCTCTCCCACCTCTTCTCATTCCCTTCTCTCCCCCTCCCATGTCTCCCTTCTATTCTCCTCTTCCTACCTCCTCTCCCTCCCCTGAGTCTGTATCCACTTTGCCCTTCTTGCTCTGTTCCTTTCCCCTTCCCCTACCTTTACCTCCATCTCCCTACACCATTCATGCTACCTCCATCTGGGCAGCCATCTCTATCTTGCTCTCCCCACACACACCAGCTCAGGCAGAGAACAAGCTCATGTGTCTTAGGGTTTCTGTTGCTTCGATAAAATGTCATCACCAAATAGCACGTTCAGGAGGAAAGGGGTTTTTCAGCTTGCACTTCTGTATTGCTGTTCACCACTGAAGAAGTCAGGGCAGGAACTCAAACAGCAGGATCCTGAAGGCAGGATCTGATGCAGAGGCCATGGAGGGTTATGGGTTACTGACATCATTTCCCTGGATTGCTCAACCTGCTTTCTTATAGATTCCAGGGTCATCAGCCCAAGTCTCATACCACTCACCGTGGGCTAATTGATCAGTAATTGAGAATGTCCTACAGCTGGACTTCATTAATTCGTTACCTTAGCGCTTCATCATCTTCTGACTCTAGCTTGTGTCAAATTGACACATGAAACCGGCCACTATAACAGACGTCTTGTCAACTTGACACACAAACACATTATTAAGCCACAAGATAGTCTTATTCATCCCCCCAGGTGTCACAATAAAAACAAAGTGTTCCACAATCTTACAAATTCAAACACATTCAAATTTCAGTCCAATTAAAATAGCCAATTTCTTTTAAAATCTAAAGTCTCTCAAATGTGGGTGCCAGTAAAAAACACTTTATTTCAGGAGGGAAAAATCCGGCACTGTCACAATCAAATCAAAGCAGAATAAATTCCAAATGTCCAATGTCTGGGATCTACTCACGATCTTCTAGACTCCTTCAAAGAGGTGGCTCATTTCTCAGGTTCTGCCCTCTGCAGCAAACACAGCTTGTATTCTAGGCTCAAGATGGCTCCACTCCACTCCTCTGCTGCTGTTGGTGGTGGTCATTCCATGTTCTACTGGCATCTCCAAAATGTTGCAACTGGTCAGACCTTTTACCAATAGCCTCTCATAGGCTCTCTTCATGGTGCCAAGCCTCAGTGTCTTTGTGTGACCACTTCAGTCCCAGGCCTTCAACTACCAGTGAGGTTGCACCTTCACCAATGGCCTCTCCTGCCTTCTCACAGTGCCAACCCTCAGCTGCTCTCCATGACCCCTGAATGCCTTCAAAACTCAGTACTACCTAGGTGACTCTTACTCATAGTAAAAGTCTGGCTGCCAGCATGTGGTACAACCTCGGCTGCCTCTGGAACACAGCTTTTCTATGCTCTGGAGAAACACAACCAGAAGATTTCACTTGAGTGACTCTCGTCTCTTTCTGATTTTTCGAGACAAGGTTTCCCTGTGTGGCTTTGGAGCCTATCCTGGAACTAGCTCTTGTAGACCAGGCTGATCTCCAACTCACAGAGATCCACCTGTATCTGCCTCCCAAGTACTGACATTAAAGGAGTGTGCCACCACTACCCAGCCCTCTGGTCTCTTCTTAATCACCACTAACTTCTTAGCTCTGAGCAGCATCAAGTACACCAGCAAAGCCAAGTTTCAATTTAGTAGTTCTGGTGTCTTGTTAATCACAATCAATTCTTGGGCCCCACTGAACCAGAATCACAGAATCTTAATTCAAAATAGCAAATGACTCTGATAGAGACTTTAAGATGTCTTCTGAAACCTCACCAGCCAGTCCTCCATCGTCTACACCGCTCTCAATATTCTTACTTCCCAAGCTCATAAAGAACATGCCACTGAGCTCTTAACAGTAATGACTCTTTTAGCCCAAAGTTCCAAAGTCCTTCCACAATCCTCCCCAAGACAGGGTCAGGCCTATCAGAGCAATAGCCCAGTATACCAGTACCAACTTGTCTTACTTAGGGTTTCGAAGGCTGAGCCGAAACACCATGACCAAAAATGAAAGTTGGAAGAGGTTTATTCAACTTACGCTTCTATATTAGCGTTCACCATTGAAGGAAGCCAGGAAAGGAACACAAACTGGGCAGGGAAATGGAGACAGGAGCTGATGCAGAGGCCATGAAGAGGTGCTGTTACTGGCTTGTTTCCCTGGCTTTTTCAGCCTGCTTTCTTATTGAAGTCCAGGACCGCCATGCTTTGGCCCCTCCCCTCACAGATCACTAATTGAGAAAATGCCTTACAGCTGGACTCAGGGACCCATTTCCTCAGCCGAGACTCCTTCCCCTTTGATGACTCTAACTTTCATCAAGCTGATACACCAAACAAGCTGGTACAGTCAGTATGGGCCACAAGAGATCTTACTTCAGAAACAAACACAAAAGTAGCATTTTCTTAGTGTTTTCATATTTTCATTTTGGAGTAGGAGGCAGGAGGATTAGTGAAGGAAATCAGGACAGTTTACATCACAAAGTAAATTCCAGAGAACCCTAGCCTAGGATTTAGCCCCACTATGTGATAAACACTTGAAAGACCCCTACCCAGGACCCCCTAGAAAAAGAAAAGCAAGGCCAGGCCGTTGCCTAATGAAAGAAACCAGCTGGCAGGATGTCAAACGGGATCTGTGGTCACCAGAGCAGTCATGGGACCGGGATAATAATTGCTGAAGCGTGCCAGGGTCTTTTATGTGGCAATACCAGGACACCTAGTCCTTGGCAACTACCCTTGCCCCCAGTTGTGTCTATGATCACCATAGTAGTCATGGGACCGGATAATAATTGCTGAAGCGTGCCGGAGTCTTTCATAAAGTAATACCAGGAAACTTAGTCCGTGGGAACTACCCCTGCCCCCAAGATGAGCCAATGAAATGCCTGTTACTTATGTAACCATTAAAACTCTATAAATATTGTACTCCCTGCAAGCCCGGTATGCTCTGCACCCGAATTGCAGTAGCATCAGCAGGTGCCTGTGTACTCAATAAATAACCTCTTGCATTTGCAGCCAGTGGTCTGGCCCCGGTTCTTGGGCAGAGGGTTCGGTTCAGTGCCCAGCGCTTTGATGCCGAGGTCTTTCACACTAACCATTTTAGAATTTTTTGATTAAATACTCATGATTATAATTTTAACTATTTTGTGAAATTTACATTATTACTAGACCTCCTTCTCCCTCTTTGTTTATTATTATTTTCATTTTTGAGACAGGGTTTATGTGTAGTTCTGGCTGTCTTGGAACCAGCTCTGTAGATCAGGTTGGCCTCTAACTCACAGAGACCTATCTGCCCTGCCTACCTGAAGCTGGAATTAAAATCATAGGCCCCCATCACCTGGTCAATTTTCAGTCTTTCTTAGGGAGTAAAACAAAACAAAACAAGAAACCACACAAAGGAAAGTGCCAAGTGTTGACAGAGATGGCGTGCAGGAGATATGGATTTCTCACTAGTTGGATGGCATAAAAGCCCCTCTGCACCAGTATACTGGCTTGTAGGCAGATCCCAGAGGCCACTTTAAGCTATGGGTTGGCACCTTAAACCCTTCACTGAGGCTCCAAGATACGTTCCCCTGCCTGAAATCTCCTCACCTGAGATGGCCAGGAGCTCCTGAGGCCAGGGGCTACTTAGTCACAGCCCATATGCCCACCCTCAGGGTCCTGCATACTGAGGTCCACTACAGGTCAAGATTCAGCTGCTTAGCTGACTGGGGGAGGGTATCTCTGTGAAATACTGCAGTGAGGAAGAAGGGTCAAAAGAAAATGTTGACTTGGATTAATCTAATCAAACAGACACTTTCATCTGCAGCCCAAGGAAAGGTCAATGATTATCCTGGCCTTACAGTCATGGGGGAGACATTAGCATTTTCTGTTCTACTTCACAGACATTGTGTATCTTGTCGTTGATTTTACCTTCTTTTCGATTAAGAAAATTTAAATCCCAAACCCAGGGAATAAGGCAAAAACAAACAAACAAACAAACACAGCAGGATTGCCCTATGCCTGCCTAAACAACTCCCAGCTCTCTGATATATTCTTGCCTCACCAAGTCCCAAAAGCCTCACTCCCCTGCACTCACTAGAAATGCCTCTCTTCCAGTGTGAAGTGTCCCCCAAATGACTAGCACCCATACTAATCTACTGGCTACACCTCACCTGGTCAGTAAATCTCTGGGTTTGATGTCCCTGTGAGTCTGTACATAATTCAAACAAATCCAGTATACACTATTGTTGCTACAAAGCATGAACCTCATAGCCTTGCAGGTTCCCCGTAGTCTACTGAGTTGGCTGTGATCTTCTGCCCTGTGCTGTGAAGATACTTGATTGCTTGGTCTAACCTGTCTGGTGTGGGGATCTGGGGTTTTCTCACACTGTGTAAGACAGGGAACTCTTTCTCTACAGTGGGGTTATTCAGGAGTGATCAGGATAGAGGGCTGCTGAAGCCAGGAAGCATTTGAGACGCCTGCTTAGAACCTGTTGTGTGTATAGATCCAGCAACACAGGCCAGCAGCCTTGCCTGTGCCCATGAAGCACGGCTTTACTTCTGGACAATGCTCCCAAGAATAAAATGCTGTCTCCCTGTGTGTCAAATATCAGGTTAGTGCTATGAATTTAGACTTTAACTTTTGTCAGCTGGAAGGATGTGGATTCGGGGCTAGTCCTCCTACCTCAAAGACCCTGGTTATAGGTGGCTTCTTCTTACTTCAAATTAAGGAAAAATCTCTTACAGGTGTGCCGCCATGTTTGAATTTTAGCTAGTTCCGGATTTAGTTGCCTACAACCAACGATAGACATTAAGGTAGACAATAATCTAGGGAATAAACAAGTGAGCTCCTGAAAGGAGTGTTGCCTCGGGGCACGTAGCTCTGCCATGCTGAAAGCTGGTTCAAAAGTAGGATTGTGGCCACACTGTCCTGTTGATGCCCTGCCTATGACAGAAGTGGTGTTCTTACAGTGCAGGGTTGTGGGTCCATTCTTAATTAGCTGTGGTGTGGATTTGTATCACAAGAAATACCAGAATTTGAGGTGGGAAGACACAGGGCTTTAACTTTCATCTTGATCCTGGAAGACACACACCTTTGATTGGTGTGTGTGGTCATATTTATATATTTATTTATTGCTTTGCTTTTTTTGAGACAGGGTTCCTTTGTGTATCAGCCTTGGCTATCCTGGAACTCACTTTGTAAACCAGGCTGGCCTCAAACTCACAGAGATCCACCTGCCTCTGCCTCCTGAGTGCAGGAATTAAAGGCATGAGGGGCCAACTCCAGGCTTTGATTGCAATCTTAAGGGGGAAGACACACCTTTAATCTGGGCCACACCATCTGTTGGAAGCCTATTTACAGACATCGAGGAACAGAGCTTTCAAGCTTCACCTGCTTGCTCTTGCCCTGCTAGCAAGTCCATTCCTTCACTGGCCTTAGAGCCTCTTCCTTTGGGATATCAGCATGTAATGGTGAGCAGCTGAGACACCCAACCTGACGAAGAGAAGACATAGGCATTTACAGAAGGGAAAGAAACCTTCAGGCCACAGTCAGGGCTCCATAACCATATCTACAAGAGGCCCTAGGAACATGGACGTCTCAGTAGGTGAGTCTCACAGTAAGTCACTTCTTACATGTCCTCAACCACGGCTGTTGGCCCTGAAGTATGCTTGTCTTCTTGCTCTGCCACAGATCCTGCCCTGTCATCTCCTGATCAACCAGACCTGCCCCAGGAGGAAGCTCAGGTGGTGCCAGAGCTGGCTGTTAGGGAGGAGCACAGGCTTAGTTGGAAGAGGCCCCATGGTGTGGGAGCTGGTCTCGAGAACACCGGTAATAGCTGCTACCTGAATGCAGCCCTGCAGTGTCTGACACACACACCACCTCTTGCCAGCTACATGTTGTCCCGGGAGCACTCTCAGAACTGTTGTCACCGAGGAGCCTGCATGATGTGTGCTATGGAAGCTCATGTGACCCAAAGTTTCCTCTACTCTGGGGATGTCATCCAGCCCTCAGAGATGCTGACTGCTGCCTTCCACAAGCACAGGGAGGAAGACGCCCACGAGTTTCTGATGTTCACCTTGAATGCCATGCACACATCCTGTCTGCCAGGGAGCAAGCTCATGGGATGCACATCTAAGCAGAGCTCCATAATCCATGAGATATTTGGAGGCTCCTGGGAATCTAAGATCAAGTGTCTCTGTTGCCAGGCGACCACAGACACCTTAGAGCCCTTCCTTGACATCACTCTGGATATCCAAACTGCTCAGAGTGTGAACCAAGCCTTGGAAAATTTAGTAAAGGAGGAAAAGCTCTGTGGGGAAAATGCCTACCATTGTGACATTTGTTGGAAGAACACACCGGCTTCCAAGACCCTGATTGTGAAAGATGCCCCACAGGTTCTCTTGCTGGTGTTGAATCGCTTCGAAGAGTTCACAGGTGATAAAAAGGACAGGGAAGTGAGTTACTCTGAGTTCCTTGACTTCCAGCCATACGTATCTCAGTCCCCTAGAGACCCATTGCTTTATGTCCTGTATGCTGTGCTGGTCCATGATGGTATGACTTGTCACAGCGGTCATTACTTCTGTTATGTCAGAGCTGGCAATGGTCACTGGTATAAGATGAATGATTCTAGTGTCACCAGGTGTGATATGAAATCTGTCCTAAGTGAGCCTGCCTACGTGCTCTTCTATGTCCAGCAGACTGAGCTCAAAAAGAATTTATGGATGCTCCCACAGGCAGAACACCAGGCAGGGGAATCCAGGCACACAACGATCAACAGAGGATCCCCCACAGAAGCTGAAGAGGCCCCAGATCACATAGAGAATACAACAGTCCAAGACTTCTTAGGCCACTGGAAAGCGCCAAAGCCATTGGTGAACCTTGGAAAACATGGATCTTTAGCAGCGAATGAAGTTGTGATTCTCCAGTCCACACATGGAGACGGACTGGAGGAAGAACCATCTTGACAGGGAGAATAGTCCCATCAGGCTTCTGCCAGGCTTCTGTCTTTCTCACCAGGAGACCATGGACACTGGGCAGCTCTGTAGTAAGGGAGAGAGACCAAGATCCAAGAAGTAGACAAACTAAGGTGGGGGTTCTCATTCCATTCACTGACCCTGGGAATGTGGACAGTCTGTGACCTTGAGGGTGCCCTTGGAGAAAGAGATTTGGACCTGTACTCCAGGCAGGACAAATGCCTCACCCTAATGGTGCTCTCCACCTTTCCTGTGTCCTCCAATGTCCTTCCTGGGACCCTCAGAAGGTCAGTGTGGATGTGAAAGAGACTCTCCAGGGTTCAAGGACTAGTTAAACCTGAGTAATCTTTTGTACTGGGGAGAGGGATGTCTGCAGTGCCCTCTGTTGGAGCTCATGGTTAGACATGAGCATCCACAAGCTTTGGATTCAGGGTTTCCACTCAGTCAAGGAGGCGCTGGCCAACCCCACTTTTATAGCTTTTTCTTTAAACTTTCTTGTGGGTTTACTGTGTGGGACGTATTGAGGGGATAGTTTTATTCATTGTGCTTGAACTGCTGTTCTTTTGACCAAATAAAATTTGCTACTTGACACCGTTTGTCCTTTTGTCATGAATGATAATTGATATTGAATATTATTGGAGATGAAGCATTTCCTGGAAATTTTGGCCTCATGCTGTTCAAACCAACTCACCAGTCAGAATTAACTATTAATTCTGGATTTTTGCTCAGAAATGGAGACTCTTACCCAAACTGTTTTACACTTAACTTTATACGTGCTGTAAAACACTGGATGACTTCCTTGAGTCTTTTTTTGTTTTGTTTTTTACCTGTTCTCAGGAAATTTTAGCAGTTGGCTCTTTTGTCAACCTTTTATATAAATAAACTTTACTCTTATCCCTCACCAAGATAGCCTCTCTTTGCAGCAATCAGAGACCATTACAGACAATTATAAGGTCACAAGAGTGTTGCCTGTCTTAGGTGTCTGGCCCCACAGATTACACCAACAACACAACTACTGCCATAGGGCCAAGGGCACATGGTGGAATCGGAGGTGAAAGGATTCCAAGAGCCAGGGATCTGGAAGTGGGTTGTGAAGTTGTGTGTCCTATTCATAGAAACCGGTCTCCACCCACAATATCCCAACAATATGACTGCTTGAACACCAATAGACAAGCTATTGTACAAGCAGGAAAGCTCATGGGTTCCTACCCATAGGTACAATACTGCAGGCAACTAAAACGTGCTGAGAGAGAGAGGGAGGGAAATTATTCTTCTCTATCAATTAGTTTCCTTGTTGGTCTTCTATTGCCTAAACCATAAACATACAAGGAACACCAAATAGATACAGCTACATTTACATATTTGAGCCTTTATATCAAATATAAAGGGCTTATCAATTTGTGAGTGACTGAGGTAAGGATGGCAGAGGATGAGGGAGGGGAAAGGGTAAATGATGTAATCATTTTTAATTAAAAATTAAAGAAACTTTTTACCTAGAATGTACCAGTGAAAACACCATTTAAAAATTGTCAGTTAAGTTTAGTGCAGTATACTAAAATAAATTTCCACCAGGCACCCCAGGAAACATCAAACCTCCTCATTGATTCCACCTGTGGCTTACAGGTCCCTGAAGCTCATTCCAACTCCACTATAGTGTCCTGATATTAGAGTTATGGAAGTAAAGCATTGAGCTCATCCTCCTGCCTGAGTGTGCATATGGCATATGTGTTTGTGCTAGTAAATGGTGTGATACATGAATAAGAGTGTGTGGGTGGGTGACTAGTGTGCATATTATGGTGTGTGTGTGTGAGAGAGTGTGTGTGTGCATGTGTATACTGGTAAATGGTGTGATACATGAATAAGGGTGTGTGGGTGGGTGACTAGACTTTGCCTGCTGAGTGTGTGTGCACTTATGCATGTGTATACTGGTATGTCGAGTGATACTTGCACAGGAGTGTGGGTGGGTGGGTAACAATGCTTGTGCAGGTGCATCTGGAAGCCTAAGGGAGGCTTCTAATGCTCCCTGCCACACTCCAGCTCACTTCCGATAGCAAAGATTGTGTGTATGTTCAGAAGGTTGCTTCTTAAGCCAGCATGGCTGGTCTACACATTCCCAGGTCTATCTGGCTCTGTCCCCCTTCCCCAGCACTGGGATTACAGACATGCTTGGTTATCCCTGCTATTTTATAAGGGTGCTGGGATTAGATCAGATGTCCTTATGCTTGCATAGCAAGGGCTCTTATACACTGAGCTGCTTCCCTGTCTCCCTCCTGCTTTTTCATGTTCCAATGTCTATGTTTCTTGCAACCCTGTGCTATGTGTGGCCTCGGTATTTCAGCGGCTCTGTGTTCTAGCCTACTCCTCCATATCTGTCTCTTGACTTACTTCTTTGTATTCTCTAGTTTCACCAACTCCTCTGTAATGGTGGCTCCAGGACACAATCTGGGCCCCATTGTTCCCTGGACGGAAAGGTCTATCACTGTTCCCAATGTGTTCCACATATTTCACTTACTCAATCTTTTGCCCCACCTTTTATTTCAAACTTATTTCCAAATTTCCCCTCCAGAAGCCAGCAAGCCCTCATCCCTGCCTCTTGTCTCTTTTTTGTACAGTTTCTGATGCTCCTACACATCTTATGAACGGAGTTCACACCTGCTGGCTCCTCCCCCAGGGCCACTCTGCCTGTCTCATTTCCTTCTGGTCATCCACTCCAAGGCCACACTGCTGTCATTTTCTTTCCCAGCTTGATAGAATTGGATCTCCACAGCTGTACACACTGCCTTTACTGAGTCCTCTGCATGTGACCTATTCCGATATCTGGTATCAGATCCTTCGAAGCCCTGGTGCCTCTGTAGATTGCCAGGCCCTAGTCTTCCCAATATAACCTTGCTACTGTAAACAAGAACACACAGCTCTTGTGGATTCTTGCTCAAGTTCAGACCGTCTGTTATGGAGTTTGTGGCCCTGGGAAAATACCACAGGGTCACTGTGTCATGGCTGGTGGAACCCTGTCTTCCAGGAACAAATGGCTGGTGGGTACCAAGATGGATGTCTAGCATAAAATGGAGCTTCTTCATAACAATCAAATGAATGATTCATAATTTTTGTAGGGGTAAAGGGTTGATAATTTTTACTAAGTCATTCAGTCAGATCCCAGCCTTCATTTGAGTAACCCTTTGCAACTCTCTGATTTTAATTTTAAGCTTTTGCAATACTGAAGTAGCCCAGAGGCCATCATGAACTCTGGTATGCCAATAGGCATCACAGACAACCATTTGTTTCTTTTAACCATTATAGGGAAATGGCTTCTTTGGTAGATGAGAACTGGTTATCTTTGGACCTAACATTCCTATCTCTTGTTAATGATAAGGGGATGATGTTGTCTTCTCTATAACTACTTTTCAACTGAAATAGGACCTTGTTCTCAGGTCCAGGAAGGCTGGAATTCTGGTCAAAGTCCTGGAGGGGCAGGGTACATCTGGTGTGCTATACAGGTTTTGTTGAACCATTTGAGGCTAGTAAAGTTCAAGTAGCTTTGGAGCAGTCTGGAAATCTGGTCCAAATCTGGGGCTCAATTTGGGAGGAAACTTTGTCAGAAGCATCTGGTTTATATTGGCTTTGTGTCCAGGGTTTGCTAGTTTCGAAGGACCACATGAGGCTGGTATGTTTGGAGCAGTTTGCACTTAGTTGGTTGGAAATCTGCTGGGACAAATATATAGACTGGGAACAGAAGTTAACAGGAACTTAATGGATATCTTACATTTGGAACTTTTAGGCCCATTATTCTGATAGTTGTGGTAGGGGGAGGAGTCCCAAGACCAGGTGAAAGAGATGACAATCTCAGAGATAGGCAGGTAGGGAAACTTAAGCTATTACTTACCTGTAGTCCATTTGACCCAAGAGAGGTGGATCCAACTCCTATGACTCCCTCAATTCCCTGTAGCTTACATAAGTTTTTCAGTTTAAAACATGAGATAAAATTTTAGATGTATTAGCATTTCCACTATTTGTGATCTGTATTAAAATTCACACTGATGAAAAGCAGCTAACAGGTATCTGTAAGATACCAGGAGTAGACTCATGCTTTTGAGTCATAGAAAAAGCTATGGATTTGGGTTTAAAATCATAAACATTGTTTTCCTCTGTCCAGAGAGCTGGATAAATATATATTTGGCAGAGATGTTTTAGCCCAATGAGAAACACCTTTATTTCCGTATTTAGGAGACAACCATAGGAAATTTAAAATCTTCAGCTGATGACTGAATATTGAATAGTCAGTGCTTTACCAGCTTCTCAGAACTGCACTGATCAATGCTAAAAGTCTCAGCTTTGGAAATCTTAGTATGACAATGGCCTAGAAGAGGGAAAGATATTTGAAACATTTTCCAATTTTTATACCCTACATCATTTTCTTACACCTTTACAATTTGTATTTATATACTTTAAATCATTTTACTTAAGTTTTCATGTCCTCAGAATTTATACACTTCAGAACATATTCTTAGACCCTCACAACTTGCAAACACTTTAAGCGATTTTTTTGTTATCTGATCATTTGTCAGAGACATGAGTAGTTATTACTGAGACAGTCCTTGAAAATCATGTTCATTTAAATAAAGTAATAGTAAAAAGTTACACCTGAAACCTGTTTATTCTTTAATATGAAGCCTGTTAGCAAGCCAAATGGTCTGTCTTTCTCATCAGGATACATAGTAGCTGCAGAAAAAGGAAGGACTCATTTTTTTAGCACATGAAATGAACTAATAATATGGCTGCAGTCTTGGAGGGAGGAGCTGGTTGCCAGCTGCTGCCAGGGTGAGAAGCATAAATTATAACTACAAGGGTAATCCAAGCGGCGTATGTATCAGTTAAAATGACAGAGACTTGCCCATTACCTAGATGGTCACCCCGCCCAGCTCCTGTGGTCTTGATGGCATTGTTGGGGGCAGAAGTTCCATCTTAGCATCAGCCTTCAGTTGCCAGCCCAGAAGATCTGAAAGGCTTTTCTGTAGAGGAGGATCTTGGGGGGACTCATTTTACTTTGTCTAGGCAGGGTGGGGCAATCTACTCTCCAGGGTCCTGCTTGTCTGCATTTTGGGCTGGGTCCTGGCAGTTTGGGGCAGTTTCTCCCAGTGCTTAGTGTTACAGCAATTCAGGTAGTTCATGTGTCACAGCATCTTCTTTGAAGTCCTTGGAATCAACTCTAGGAGCTGTAGTCTGTCTGTCATAGAAACTTTTCCTCATTAAATATTTTAAATGGTATATTCAGCAGGTCTCTGCCAAGTTTGAAGACCATTATCTATTAAGTATATCTGAGCTAAACAAACTTTGTTTTTAGTTACTTAACCTTGAAAACATATACAGGAGGCTTAATAAAACTTGTCCCTGAAAATGAATTTCATTTGTACTTAGAATGATTATAAGCATAGTTCTGAGCACATTAAAGAATTTGATCACATATTGGATGACTGAACACTAACTTGAGCATCCTATTTGTCCTTAATAATTTATAAGAAGCTAGCAGCTCTAATTTTTTTTTTTGGTTTTACGAGACAGGGTTTCTCTGTATTGTTTTGGAGGCTGTTGGTC